TGATACGGCTTTTTATGAGTCACCGTGTCTGCCGCCGAGTTTGAATTGGTTAACTATTAAAATAAATGAATGAGTAAAACTTCCATATGAAAAACGTGAGGGCTAAATAGCAGTCACTGGTGAAGGTTCTAGTTGTAAATTTTAAGAAGAAGAATAATCCCAACTTAACTACTCTTTACAACAGAGAACAGAAAAAGAAAAATTTTCCCGGCATTGTGTGAGCTAGTAGCCGCATTTTGGAGCAACTGACCCCAGTAGGACAAAATTACAGATAAATCTGAACCCACAATATTGACACAAGAAATCCTAAATAAAAATGAAGATCCAGATGTGTAAAAAGAATAATCATCAGGATAAGTAGCACTTAGCTGCAAATAAGGGGGTTATATCAAAAAATGTAACACAAAAACAGAATAAGGAAGAAAACTGGATTGAAATTCAAGAATCTTATGAGGACTCTTGGATCTAGAAATAGAAGAAAAATTTCATCAAGAAATCCTGTTATAGTTAAACATACTTATGTGGAAATGAAATTTTTTTTTTGAGAACAGAGTCTTGCTCTGTTGCGTAGGCTTGAGTTACAGTGCACCTTCGGCTCACTTGCAAGCTCGCCTCCCAAGTTCATGCATTGCTCGCTGCCTCAGGCCCTAGAGATAGGGCTGGGATCAAGAATGTAGCACACGCCCTGGTAATTTTTATATTTTTGAGTAGAGACGAGGTTTCCCATGTTGCCCAGGCGGTCTCTACTTTGACCTCAGGTGTGATCGCCTGCTCGCAATCCAAAGTGCTGGGATTACAGGGCTTGAAGCCACAATGCCGGGATAATGAAATTTTTAAAAATGCCATTAAGCATAAAAATATGAAGTTGAGACAGTAAAGTATAACAAAGAATGGGCTTGGCAATGGTGAGTCATGCTTGTGTGAAGCCGCAGCATTGGGAGAGCCAAGGCAGGGTGGGAATCATTGAATGTCAGTACTTTGGCTGAGCCTGGACAACATGGCAAAATCTGGTCTCTGGCGGGCTAGCAGAGGACATCTGTGATCCCAGGTGTATTTGAGGGAGGATAGAAAGACCTGGTGAACCCCAGAGGCTGAGGTTGCAGTGAGCTAGATGGTGCCACGTCTATCCAGCCTGGGCGACACAGTGAGTGAGACTCTGTCTCAGAAAACAAAACAAACAAACAATGAAAAACAAAGGTGGAAGTCTCACAGAGGGTATTAAAAACTTTATAGGGGCTGGGAGTGGTAGGTTAATGCCGCGGCCTGTAGTCCCAGCACTTTGGGAGGCCAAGGCAGGATGATCTGTTGAGCCCAGGACTTCCAGATCAGCCTGGGCAACATAGCCAGACCCCGTCTCTACCAAAAAAAAAAAAAAAATCACATCAGGCTATTTCTTCTCAAGTCGGTTTATTAAATTGTACTTTTAAGGAATTTATTTTGTTTAAATTTCAAAATGCTTGGCATAAATTCATTCATCATAGCTTATTTTTGAATGTCTACAGATCAGTAACAGTGTCTCCTTTATAATATTTAGTTATACCTTCTCTCTTATTAGGAGTATTGCATTAAAGTTATATAAACTATAGTTATTTGTGGCAGCTAATTATTACGAATCTACAAGTACTACCTAACACGATAATTACGAGATACATTGTGAATGTTGTAGTCATAGTAGCTTGTCTGAGTTTTATTTAATAATACAGTATTTTGGTCTACATTTGGCCTTTGTGTTTTAGCCGTGTATCATGGTTGTGTTTGATCACAGTGTCCCCACAGAGAAGTTAAATTGGAAAGGTAGAGTATTAGGTGACAGAAACCAAGTAAGAAGAGAGTTTTAAAAAGAAAAGGATAGCCAGTAGTGTCCAGGAAAGTCCAAGGGGAGGTCAAATTAAAAGTCTTATATTTGACAAATAGATTTTATTAACAATGTTTGATTAAAAGTGGTCAACATTTTACTTTCATGTAAAATTTAAGACCTGAAGTTTATTTCTTAAAATGCTTGCAGTTTCTAAATCCACTGGGCACCAGAAGTAAAATTTTAAAATTCTTAGCCAGATAAATTACAACTATACTTTCTCATTTCTTCACGTTATTACTTTAAGCTTCAGGGTGAAATGCATTGACAGGGAACTTGGGAAGCTTTTGTTCCTTCTGTTTCTCCTGCAGATATCATGGCTGAAATCCAGAATTCTACAGTGCTTTCATTTTCTAGGAGTTCTGAATTACCTTTCTTTAAATTAAATTTTGAATTTTTTTTTTTTACATGACACATTTCTAATTTTGCTCATTTGCAAAGTGCCCTTTAAATTGAGGCCCTATATCAAGGTCTGCTGAAATGCAGTATGGGAGCTCGCGACTATATTGAGGTAGGTAATCATGCCTCGTATCTGTGGATATGCTGGTTAAATGAGCAATTAAAGATGGCTTTGTCTTTTCCTTTAACTCCAGGAACTTGTGTCCCTGAAGCCCTGTAAAGCTGCGGAGCTGGTTGCCACCCACTTTTCTGGACATATTGAAACGGTCATTAAAAAACTTCAGGTATGTATTGCAAATATATATAGGGGAAAAATATCTAGTGGAGGGACAATTATTAAATCTTCACCTAAGAAGTTTTGATTATAGTGATTTCTTCAGTTGATATTTATTAGCAATTTCTGTTAGGTTGGTGCAAAAGTGATTGTGGTTTTTGCCATTTCTTTAATGGCACAAACCTAATACTATGTGTGTGTGCGTGTGTGTGTGTGTGTGTGTGTGTGAGCAGTTGTGTGATGATCTCTTAGTTTGGAAATGAGGGAGTTGATCTTTGTGCATAACAAATATGAGCTTCAGAGAAGCATTTCTGGAATTATAATGTACTTATTCTAGAAATCCTAATCCACAGATCTTCTCTTCCCCCATTTTCTTTTGCTGTAGGATCCACAACCCTGTTTTCTTTTTTCTTTTTTTTTTTTTTATACGGAGTCTCACTCTGTTGCCCAGGCTGGAGTGCAGTGGCGCGATCTCCACTCACTGCAAGCTCCACCTCCTGGATTCACGCCATTCTCCTGCCTCAGCCTCCCGAGTAGCTGGGACTACAGGCACCTTCCACCACGCCTGGCTGATTTTTAAAAATATTTTTAGTATATTTAAATATATGTATAAAATATATTTATATTTATATATTTATATTTTATATATTTAATTTTTTATATTTTATAATTTTTTATATTTTTAGAGACACAGTTTCACCATATTAGCCAGGATGGTCTCGATCTCCTGACCTCGTGATCCACCTGCCTTGGCCTTCCAAAGTGCCGGGATTACAGGCATGAGCCACCACTCCTGGCCCACAACACTGTTTTCTTTGAGATTCATATTTATTCAAAACTTTGTCATCCTGAAATTGTGCTGTTTAGAATTTTTCTTGGAAAATCTTAACTAGAATGCAGCTATATGCGTGGTAAATATTGAGAAGCTCAGTTAGAAGTACTATTGAATGCACTATTTAAGGTATTCCACTTACCACTTACCATGGCAGTGCTGATGTTGAGTTTGCTCCCTGTCATTGTAGCCACAAGTGATAGAGGCAGGGAATAGGACAATGACAGGGACTTGAAGCACCACCCAAAGTCCTCAAGTGACATTAATAGTGGTTGGGAATAGCTGTGCAAGCAGGAAATCAGAGCAGTGAGTAGGAGGTAGCTGGCATGAGAGACAAAAACATGGAATTCATTCATTCAGACACTTAGTGCAGCCCCACTCTCTAGCAGTGTGCTAGGCCCTAGGGACAGAAATAAGAATACAACCTTTTCTTAAATTTTCCCTCTGGAACAGAGAAGCACTTGCATAATTACAGTCCAGTGTTGAAAGAGCTACACTAGAGATATGTGAAAAGTGCTGTAGGAACAAGAGAAGAAGAGTGTGATGGATTGCAAGAAAGACAAGAATGCCGAAAGATCCCTAACCTGGTCTTAAATGCCTAATGTCAGATTTCCAAGCAGAGACTTGGGCAGGGCTTTCTCGATAAAAAGGTTCTGGATATAAAAAGCCTTGAAGGCATGAAGCAGCCTGCATGTTCGGAGAACAGTCAGGTCTGTGTGAAGCATGACGTCGTGGGGGTGATGGTGGAAGTGGCATTAGATTAAGCTATTAGTGATAGGCTGGAGGGGAGGAGCTAAACTAGAGGGGTGGCAAAATACAGCTTGGAGACAAATGCGGAATGGTTTCATATGTGATGCTATGAAATTTAAACTGTCTTCTGTGTACTGAGAATGTGTGTGTGTGTGTGTGTGTGTATGTGTGTGTGTGTGTGTCAGATTTTGGCTCTGTTGCCCAGGCTGGAGTGCAGTGGTATCATCTCGGCTCACTGCTACCTCTGCCTCCTGGGTTCAAGCAATTCTCCTGCCTCAGTCCCTGAGTAGCTGGGATTACAGGCGCCTGCCACCACGCCCGGCTAGTTTTTGTATTTTAGTAGAGACGGGGTTTCACCATGTTGGCCAGGCTGGTCTTGAACTCCTGACCTTAGGTGACCCACCTGCCTCAGCCTCCCAAAGTGCTGGGATTACAGGCGTGAGCCACCGTGCCCGGCGAATTACTGAAGTTTTTTAAAGCTAAAGGGCAGTATCATTAGATCCATTTTACAGAAAATTAACTTTGTATAGCAGTGGGGAGAATGGACTGGAAAGGAGAGCGAATGGAGGAGAGAGAAGGTCTAGGCAAAAGATGGAGGACTAGCACTAAGTCAGTGGCAGTTGGAGAGGACAGATTTAGGACATTTTTGTAAAGTAAAATGTATAGGATCTGGAAATTAGTTGAATGTGGTGGGAGGAGTTAAAAACGACTCCCAGGTATCAGGCTTGGTTGTCCAGCATGATAATGATGAGGTCCATTAACTCAAGAAAAAGACTCATCCATTAATTCAATAATTACTCCCGTACCTGCTCTGGGCCAAAAATATTAAGTACTGAGGATACAAAAGCATGTAAGTGTGATCCTGCTCTCTAGAAAGAAGACAAATAAGCCAAGACAATTACAGACTAGTTTGATCGGAATGCTAATGGAGCCCAGGATTCTAAAGTAGTACACGGAAGGACATGAAATTCAGTCTACTGAGGGAGGGTAGGAGGAGGTTTCTACCAAAATTACTCTCAACCTCCAGAGCTTCTCTCCCCTTTAAAAGTCAGCACTTCTGGTAAATTTTGCCTGTGGTGGGGGCTGTGTTGTCATTGTCCTTTAAGATTTAAAATGATCACTTGTGGCCGGGCACGGTGGCTGAAGCCTGTAATCACAGCACTTTGGGAGGCCGAGACGGGCGGATCACGAGGTCAGGAGATCGAGACCATCCTGGCTAACACAGTGAAACCCCGTGTCTACTAAAAAAAAAATACAAAAACTAGCCAGGGCGAGTGGCGGGCCTGTAGTCCACTACTCGGGAGGCTTGAGGCAGGAGAATGGCGTAAACCTGGGAGGCGGAGCTTGCAGTGAGCCTGAGATCTGGCCACTGCACTCCAGCCTGGGCAACCGAGTGAGACTCCGTCTCAAAAAAAAAAAAAAAGAAAGAAAGATCACTTGTAGGGTTTTCTTTTCTTTTCTTTTCTTTTCTTTTTGTAGTCTCTAAGAATATTAAGAGACAGACCCAGTAGATAAATATAATGTCATTCATCAGACAAATATATAGAAGTAAAGTACAGGCCAGACACAGTGGCTCACACCTATAATTCTAGCACTTTGCAAGACCCAGGCAGGCATATCGCTTGAGCTTAGAAGCTCAAGACCAGCCTGGGAAACATGGTGAAACCCCATCTCTAAAAAAAAAATCCAGAAAATTAGCTGGACGTGGTGGTGTGTGCCTTTCATCCCAGCTATATAGGAGGCTGAATTGGGATGATCACCTGAACCCAAGAGGTTGAGGCTGCAGTGAGCTGTGATCATGCCACTGCACTCTGGCATGGGTGACAGAGTGAGACCCTGTCTCAAAAAAAAAAAAAAAAAGCTGAAGTATGATGGATAATAAAAAGCTTTCTATTTGTGGTCTGTTTGTGGAGTCTTAGACAATTCTTTTAAAGAAATGAAGTATTTACTTTATTGCCTAGCTTTATAAATTCTGCAAGAATCCCATATAGATCTTACAAAGTATGTTTACTTTTGATTGACAAGAAATATGCCTCTAACCAATTGTTTTCAGAATTCTTAAAATGAAAAATATGCCAGAATGTTAAGTTACAACCAAGAAGAAAGTCATGTAAAATAACACAAAGTGATAGTGAAGAAATAGAAGATCAAAGACTGATACAAATAAATATATTTTTTAAATCATATTTTTATATTAATCTTTTTCATCCTTAGGAGTCTCCCATTTTTTTTACAGATGAAGTGTGAATGTGTCAAAAAATACAAAACAAAAAAGAAAAACTAAACAATAACAATTTTTGCATAGGTTTCCCAAGAATTTAGAAATATTCATATTTTTGTAGTATTTGAAGGTTTATCTCTTTTAACCCTCACTACTACCCTGTGTGGAAGGCAGAGAAGATATTGCTGTCCTCTTTTTTTTTTTTCACATAAGGAACTTGAATTGCTCGGAGGATAAGTAACTTACAGGAAGTCACATTGTGAGCAAGTGGCAAGAACAGAACCCAGATTTTATGGCGTGTTGATTGCTAACATGTTGCAGTTTGATTGGCATCTCTTCTGTAGTTGTTTATATTGTTCATGAGCTTTTTTGGTGGTGGTTGTTAACTTGGACCTCAAACTCCCACCTTCCCTCGATGAGCTATCTCACAGCAACCCATTGCCACAGGAGGACCAGGTTAAGGCCGGGTGAAACTGATCAGTGCAGCGAGAGCTCAGCATCCACAGAGCAGTTCCAAGCACCTGCCACTCCAGGGGTCCTTGTGCTGGGAACAGTTTGGCGGTTTGTCTCAGTAGAGGTCTTTTTTGGGTGATAATAGGGTGTTTGTGTTCCGTTTACACTGAGAAGTGAATGTGCGACAGTGATTAGAATTATTGAGAAGACATAAAGAACCTCCAAATGATTCTTTAGAATCTCTTAGATACATATTGAGGGCTTTATGGAAGTACTCAGATATCTGTGCATAAAGGGATAGGTTAAAGTAGTTCTTTACTATGGAAGAATTTGAAAAATTTGTTTTAATATTTAATTGTAATTTTTATTGGTTTTCTATTCAGAACCAGGTTTTGCTTTTCAAATTTTTGAGGAGTCTTCTTGACCCAAGGTATGTTGATAAACTTTAGTCTTTCATTTTATATATATATATATGAGAAACAAAAGGAAATAAATTGAGATTAAGTTACCAGCCCATAGTATCTAAATAGTACAATTATCTCTTAATTTTTTAATATTAGTAGGAGCAACTGTTACACAGATAATGTGAAAATAGAAGATATGAACAATAGATTGTATCTTGAGATAATACTTTTCTTTCCATTTGAACATGAACATATATGGTGAGTTCTCATGGGTGTAAATAAAATAATGAAGCCATGCCACGAGGACATGTTTCAGAAGAGTTAGCTTCCCCCTCCTGCCCTTGTTTCACTCTTGCTTACTCCCAACTTCATGTGGGAGATTGATGGTGCCTGTACTTTCCAAAGTTAACACTTGGTTCCCAGCCTACCTCTAAATGTATTGCCTTTTAAACTCTGACTTAATATGTTTAGTTTTAAACAACTTCCTGATGGTGTGGGAAGGAAAGTTGAAATGTGCTTTTTCACTGCTACTCTGATGCTTATATCAAATAAAAGCAAACTCAAGGAGATGATGAAATTAATTAATAATGGATTTGTAGGCAGAGCAGTTCTGCATATGAGGTTTTAAAGTTTTGCTGTAACTACATAGAGTACATTGGGAGTTGAGGACAGTAATATTTAATATCCTCTAAGATAGTTACTCTTGACCAGTAGTGTGCATCAGAATCACCTACGAAGCTTTTAAAAATTCAGATGCCTTGGCCCAACCCACGGAATCACTGGGAGCTGGAATATTTTGATGCACACCTAGAGTTAAGCATGGTTTACATGTATTTTTCCAAGATGACATAGCTTTCATATCAGACATGCAAACTTCAGGTTTCATTATAATGTATGCTGGCCATTAAAAACAACTATTTACTTACTTCAGCAGTTGTAATATCAGTTTTGGTTATTTCTGTGTTCTGTGCTGTTTTAAAATACCAAAATACCAGTAATTTTGTTGATTGTAAAATTTTTTTGAAAGCTCAACCATTTGAATCTTGAATAGGCTGTGGTACATTTAAATTTAGTCAAACAAATGTGTATGTGTAGATGTTTACTAAAAGCAGACTGATTACAACCCGCCCCCCCCCACTTGTGTTCAACACCTTTTCAAAGTTATCTGTGTTTTAATTCTCTGTCCTCAGATTATTACTGAGGCTAGACATCCTTTTTTAAAAAAAAATTCCTATTAATCATGTGTATTTCCCTCAGAGTCAGTTTGGGCCCTTTTCTACTCCCAGAATTAACTGATGGAAAGATTTTAGAATTGGAGCTGGGAGTGGAAGGGAAGGAAGGAATGTGGGAAGAGGTAGGGAGAGCTGGGAAGGGGAGACATGAAAGTAGGGCAGAGCGCGGAGCTCAGGGGAGGAGGAAGGAAACGCCAGTCCCACTTCTCAGTCCTTTCTCTAGAGCCTGAGAGCCTGTCCACCTCTTTTTCTGTGGCACAGTTCCCTCTTTTCCTCCCCCATACTTTTCCCTGTGTTAGATCCATTCACTGCTGTGCCCTTAGGTTAATTTATTTTAATCAAGTCCTTTTCCTCTGCCATCCTACCTGGAGAGACTCAAGCAGGAAGGACAGGGGGAGGTCAGCTTTGAACTTGGCATTTTCTCAAATGAAGCATGGAAAGTGATAGTGACCAAATATATATTTTTTTAATTAAAGAAAACAAAAAACCAGAGCCGGGCATGGTGGCTCAAGCCTGTAATCCCAGCACTTTGGGAGGCCAAGACGGGCGGATCATGAGGTCAGGAGATCGAGACCATCCTGGCTAACACAGTGAAACCCCGTCTCTACTAAAAAATACAAAAAACTAGCCAGGCGAGGTGGTGGGCGCCTGTAGTCCCAGCTACTCGGGAGGCTGAGGCAGAAGAATGGCATAAACCCTGGAGGCGGAGCTTGCAGTGAGCTGAGATCCGGCCACTGCACTCCAGCCTGGGCGACAGAGCGAGACTCCGTCTCAAAAAAAAAAAAAAAAAAAACTGTATTAGGTAATGTAAATATCTGTGTCAAAGATCTAGTGTTCTGCTTTGAGAATCCCAGTTCTTAAATTCATCATATTTTATCCTCTTACTTTATGTCTTATATAGGCGGCAGGCATTGATGTAGATTATGCTCTAAACTTTTTGAATTTGATGTTTGGCATTTCAATCCTTTTTAAATAAAAAGCAAATACAAATAATATACCTGCTTTGGTATTGCAGTCACTATTTAAAATAAATAGTACAAAAAAAAGACATATCACAAGTATCAAAGGTGGACAGTCTTGCTCCATTGTTACCTATATCTAGATTTGAAAGATGTTAGTTAGGTAAGACCCTTTACGCGTGCTGTGAAAGTTGTTTTGTTCACCAGTAAACCGCAAATTATTTTACTTGAGAAACAGGTATATTTTATTTCCCTAAGCTAACCGTAACCAGGATAATTACCTCTCACACGTTATTCCTTTCCTGTCATATCAATTCAGGCGCAAGGTCTTTTGTTACCAACCTTGAAAAGAGGCAGTGCGCTCACAGGCCTTCCTTTCCCCTTCCCCAAAAAGTGACATGACCAGGAATGATCTCACTCTCACAGCCAAATTTCTAGCTTTACTTTTGCCTACCAGAAATTAAGAGCCTTGAAGTAACCAGCTTACCTTAGCTCTGCCTTTAAAAAGAACTCACTTTTGTATTGATCTGCCTCCAAAATATCAAAGACCGAGTGTTCTGCTTTGAGAGCCCCAATTCTTGGATTCATCATATTTTATCCTCTTACTTTATGTCTTCCAAAGGAGGCAGACATTGATTTACATTATGCTCTCAACTTATTTTTCAATTTGATGTTTGGCATTTCAATCATTTTTATATAAAGAACATTTTAAATGATGGTATCTCAAGCTAACCCATACAAGCCTCTTTAACCCACAATGTAAATAAACATATAATACTAGTAACATATTGAGTTCTGGATTAAGGGAGAGAAAGTAGGTTCAGAAGGTTGAGTACCGAGGGAGTAAGGAAAAAAGAAGAAGTTCTCCCTTTCTTGCTTTGAGAGCGGTTCTTAAACAAAGTTTTGATTTGTATAAAGTTTGTTTTTGGTATCCTTTGAACCCTACCTCCACCCCATTCTGTTCCCTTCTTTCCAGGGGTGCGGGGTACACACACTTCTTCAAGCTCTTTGCATTATAAGCACACTCAGGTATAGAGTGTTCTTTATAGATGTAAAAAATCCAAATTACCTTCCTCCATTTCCCCATCAAAACTGTTTTCTAGTTGCTTTGTCAATTTCTGTATTGTATGGCCCCTTTTACAATGAGGAATATATAAATAACATGAATATAATGAAGCATATAAAAGATGGGGAAAAAACTCAACACCTTTTCCTAATACAGTTGACCTCAAGGGTAAGAAGAAAGCAGAGTGCACAGATTGGTTTATATTAGTCTCTGATTGACTAACTTCTCATTACGTTTTAGCCTGTTTTTTAGTGACTGTGCTTGTTAACTAACCTAAAGGATTAGACTCTTTTCAGGTACTGGGAAAACTGAGGGAGTATGGAATATGGATATAGGGTCAAAACAACATCGAGAATAGGTAGACTGGCCCCGGCTAGCAGTTTACCTGACAGCCAAACGTGAATTATTTTTGCCTTTGTTTCTTCTCTTTTTGTTATTTTTAAGCAATAGATATTTTTAACCTCCAGTTTTTTTCCCCCATGAAACTCCTAAAGCAGCATTATGAAAGAAAACAGTTACTTTGGGATGAGGACTGCTGGTGTGTATGTATCATCTCAGAGTGTTGCTTTTTTTTGCTCTTGCCCCCAACACTTGAGTTAATAGGATTCTTATTCTTGTATGTATAGTTTATGCATATTTAATTTAACATTTACATGTATGGCCAGGCGTGCTAGCTCATGCCTGTAATCCCCGCACTTTGGGAGGCCGAGGCAGGCGGATCACCTGAGGTCAGGAGTTCAAGACCCACCTGGCCGACATGGTGAAACCCCATCTCTACTAAAAATACACACACGTGCACACACACACAAACATTTACGTGTATCAGGTTGTTTTTTGAGGGAGTAGCTTTTATTTTGTCAACAGCATTATTAAAAGAATAGGTCATCCAGTTGAATTCATGTGTATATTTCTCTGTCTTTACCCGGTGTCTTTCTATTATCTTTGTTATGTAAATAGTTTCCTCAGTCGAATTAATTGACCTGCAAGGATATTGGTGGCATCTGTACATATAAAGATTAGATAGTTTTAGGGGGAGAGGGAGTTAATCCTCCAGAAGCAAATTACTTGCCTGAATTAAGGCCAACAGCTTGGGAGAGAGGATTTGCATCCTCTTCCAATTATTTCTTTTGGGACAGCTGCTACATAAAGCTCCACTCTACCCCCACCCCCTGGGTGCATTCCTGCTGGCCATGAATTCTCACAGGAGTTCTCCTGATGTGCTTACACCCAGCTGCAGGTTCCTTATGCAGTGGGGATTGCTTAAAGGATAATACAAAAGGACATGTGTTTTTGTGAGGCCGTGAGCTGCATAAGGAATAAAGAGAATGTGCAAGTATATTTATATTCTGAATATTTTCCTCAGTATGATTTTCCTGGTAATGTTGACTTAGCCTTTGTTAACAATGTTCTGAAGGCCTCTGAAACATATAGCATGATTTTCCTGAAGGAAAAAAACACATGTGTCACATTGTATCTGAAAGTCTTTAATCAAAGTAAAATAAAAATTGAACATTGTTAAGAAAATGAGTAACTTTGCCCAGGAGCAAAATATAGATTATGAAAATGGTTATGCATTGGATTTTAGCTGAATCTGTCAGTGTTTCTGTGGATATTTTTGAAGGGACGTTTTAAGATATTGACACTCAGTATTGAAATAGCGTATTTCAAAGTTAAAATACAAAATTAGAAGATTATATATTAGAAGATTATATATGTTCATGAACTTTGACATGTTAAAAAAAAAAATACCTACTTCAGTGAGTGCCTAC